GAGCTCTTGCACAGGAAGGCAGTGTGGACAGGCAACAGGGGTTTCTTGCGCAAGAAATCCCGATGGCTATGTAGAGAGGTGTTTTCCCCCTCAGCATTGGGGCCACCTCACCAGATAATGTCCCCACGTGTCGGCCCCTCTGTCCAGTCTCTATGACCTTCTTCTGGGCCCTTGAGGCCTAGTCACCAAAAAAAGCCGTTTGTCTAGAGTACAGAAAAGGCTGGTAGGGGGACGTGGGCCCTCCCTCTCCGCCGGGTCCCAGCCCAAGGCCCTTTAGGCGGTGACTGTTGCTCCTGCCTGCTTGGTGGGGAATTCAGCTGCTACACACCGAGCGGCTCTATCTGTCCTCTGCCTTGGGATGCTTCCTACCACACCCTGGTACTCCTGTAGTCTGCTCGTCTCCAGGCCCAGTCCTTATCCGGGGCTGGCGCTGGGGTTGCAGGCGCTCCTCCCTCCCAGGCTGCAGGCTGCGGCTCTGGGGAGCAAAGCCAGCAGCCACCACTGACTGGGAGGCAGGAGCGCTCGCAACCCCAGCTCCAGCTCCAGCCCTCAATAAGGACCGGGCCTGGAGGCCAGCATACTACAGGGTGTGGTCAGGGCCAGCTCGAGATATTCCTGCGCCCCGGGCAGCGGGCATGCAACTCATGCGCGGCCCTGCCCCCCAGCGCGCTGCGCCCCTTAGAGCTGCCCCCAGGCACCATGCGGCCCCCGCCGGGGGCCGCACGGTGCCCCTTAGAGCTGCCATCAGGCGCCACACGCCAGGGGCCGGGGGCCGCACGGTGCCCCTTAGAGCTGCCATCAGGCGCCACACGCCAGGGGCCGGGGGCCGCACGGTGCCCCTTAGAGCTGCCATCAGGCGCCACACGCCAGGGGCCGGGGGCCGCACGGTGCCCCTTAGAGCTGCCATCAGGCGCCACACGCCAGGGGCCGGGGGCCGCACGGTGCCCCTTAGAGCTGCCATCAGGCGCCACACGCCAGGGGCCGGGGGCCGCACGGTGCCCCTTAGAGCTGCCATCAGGCGCCACACGCCAGGGGCCGGGGGCCGCACGGTGCCCCTTAGAGCTGCCATCAGGCGCCACACGCCAGGGGCCGGGGGCCGCACGGTGCCCCTTAGAGCTGCCATCAGGCGCCACACGCCAGGGGCCGGGGGCCGCACGGTGCCCCTTAGAGCTGCCATCAGGCGCCACACGCCAGGGGCCGGGGGCCGCACGGTGCCCCTTAGAGCTGCCATCAGGCGCTACCCTCCTAGTTCGAACTAGGAGGGTAGTGTAGACATACCCTCTGGCTCTGCTGGAAGCATGCCCAGCAGAGCTGGATGGGCAGGGCCTTCTCAGACAGCTGGGCCTGGGCTACTCTCTGCCCTTCAGTGTGGGGCCTGTCTGCCCCGCCACAGGCTAAAATGGCCATCAGAGCTTTCTTGCGCAAGAGAGCGGCCTAACTGCCATGGACACTCTTGCACAAAATCACATGGCAGTGTAGATGCGCTCTTGCGCAAGAACTCAAAAACAGTTCTTGCGCAAGAAGCCTTCCGTGTAGACGTAGCCTCAGATTAGATCAGTTCACCTGCACTAACTACCCTCCTTATGTGCTGGCCTGTTTCCCTTTTGATCTCCTCCTGCAAGCCATGCATGCTTGTCATATGTTCCGGTTTACCATACAAGACTGTGGTCTCGGCCATCAAAATCCACACTCTTGGGGGAACTGATAATGCAATATCTCTGATGGGATCATCTTACATCAAAGTGCATATTGGTGTGAGGCCTCTTGGGCCAAAATCAACAGCTTAACCCCTTCCATATCAGCCTGGGGTTTGAACAACTTATCACAAATTGTATACTGTTCCTATATTGCTTCTCATACCACCATACTATAGAATAGAATAGAATAGAATAGAATAGAATAGAATAGAATAGAATAGAATACTCATTTCTCCTTGCTTATAATGAGTCTGTATTGTGTGGACTCCCATTATTTGTTGTTTGAGACTATTTGGACAACCACTGGTTTATTCATGAGAAAGTTTTGAATCCCATATATCTCATACATTTTAGCCTGAATTCATCTGAAACAACCAGTTAATGGGCTTGATTCAGGAATTACTGGGTGAAATTATATAGCTTGTGTTATGCCATAGGTCAGACTAGATTATCTCAATGGTCTCTTCTGGTCTTCTGGTATCAGTATATGAAAATTCTGTTTAGCTTTCATTATTTGCTACTCTTATCATTCACTCATTATTCTCCAGTTTAAAAAGTATTTGGTCATCTAATCAAGGAACCAAAACAATTCTATGTCCTTTTGTGTCCAGTCTCACATGCTGTTAATCACAAGTAGTCAAAGACTTAGTTGAAATAAATATTCAGTAAAAAGCAGTTTGCATAGACTTTTGATAAAAGCTTTCAAAACCCAAATATAATCTTAGAAATCATGGTGGGGTCATGGACAGAATGAAGGGCCAAAATGACCAGAGAAGCTATTTGTAAGAAAAGATTCAACTAATTAATTAATATCCAGGATGCAATTTCCACTAGAGCCACATGATGGCAGCATTTCATGTAGAATATAATAATTCTGTGTCAACCTATCCATACTGGCCAAATATATGTTAATATATAGATCAATGCATTTCTCATTCCACACCCACAACTTCTCCACTGTTAACAGAGAAATTGTGAAAATCATACAATGGCAAGTTATCTTGAGAAAATTTAACTTCATACAATGGGCTTTTCACATAGGCCAACAAATTACATCAGGTGAAGTTCATGTCCTTAATTCAATCAGAGCACAGACCTAAAGATAACCTTAATTCTTTTAAGTGGTGCTCAGTGACATTGCAAAAGTGATTTTGCGCTATATATGGCCATTATTATGGCAAGTTATATTGTAGTAGAGTCTAGGACAACAGAGAAACCCAAGACAGAGTAAATTATACAGTGCATAGACTGAAATTGTGCATAGACTGAAATTTTCCACAGTCTTGACTCATTTGTATTCAATCAGTATTTAAAACGGCATTTCATATCCTGAGAAACAAACATATGTTTGGAATTCAATACATCTTGTGATGATGTTTATCATTAGTAGGATTTGCAGTTCTTGAAATCCAGAACCTGTTCATGTGTAAACCTATTATTTTTCCTTTATAAATGGCATTGAATTATTCTACAGCAGGGATGGGCAAATACTGGCCCATGGGCTGGATCCAGTCTACCAGGGTTAACCCCGGCAGGCCCCCATAATGCCGTATTTACCTGCAACTCCGCTGGTATGGGGGATCTCAGCTCCCGTTGGCTGCAGATCACTTTTGGCCAATGGAAACTGTGATCACCCATAACTACAGAGGTGCATATAAATATGGTGCTAGCATCCCAACCGGGCTAACCCGGTGAACTGCCATTGTTTTATTCCCCATCCCTGCTCTATAGCAATGGCTCAAAACTCAGTGCCATTCAGCTCTACTTCTTATAACGTGTTAGTATAACCTTTAAGGTTGTAATATTAGCCTGTTATAATATCTTACAAGATGTAGAGTTTTGAACCTTTATTTTGTCAAAAATAAAAGGGATATGTTGTATATGTAACCTCTTCTTTGTTAGCTTTAAAAAGTCTTTCCAAATAAAGTATTAGTGATGGACTTGCCTGCCAGGCCTGCCAGATCTAGGGGCACAGAGTTTGAAAACAAAGTGAGAAGCATGGAGTGGAACTTCCAAAATGAAAGGAAGAGTTTTTCTGTGAAATCAAAGATGCCTCCTATTGCTTGAGGAAAATGGAAATACCAAGGGAATTGCAACAGTAAAACAAACCAGGCTTGTGTCTTTGTTCAGTAAAAATGTGCTTACCACCATTTGAAGCTACTCTCAATAACTGGCCAACCCTCAAAAGAAATTCAGGCCAAGTTGCATCATGTTTCTTTGCAGCCGCTTAGGCTGCAGGGAGAAAGGGTGATGGATTATGGACACCTAAAATATTTGTATATATATCTTCAGGGCTGCAAATCGTGGGGGGTGGGATTAATAAAGACAAGGGGTATGTTCCAGTTTGCCATATGGTTCTGTGGTCTTGGCTATCAAAATTCTTACTCTTTGGGAAACTGCTAATGAAATATCTTTGATGAGATCCTCTTACAGAAGAGAGCAAATTTCCGCAGGGATTTATCTCTGTTATTCTTTTAAAACTATATAAAGAGGACCTTTTAAATGCATTCCAAGATGGTTGGCAACTGATCTACTGGCAGTCAGCACTGGTAAGAGAAATGTCAAGGATCCATGCAGTTAGGAGTAGGGGAGTTGAAAAGGATAACTGCAGGCACTCTGTACTTGTGTCTAAATTCCAGACAGATCTACAAAAATCAATACTGAATGGCTTGGGCACCAAGGAAGACTGGTGCAAACAGCTGCCTTGGGGCTTGAGTGAAACAACTTTATTATTTTCTCCTCAGTAGGGATATGGGGTACAATTTTCAAAAAGCTTCTAAGCGTCTCGGGTGCCTACATGCCATATTGAACAAACTTATGCACTTAAGGCCCAATTTTTAAAGGAGGCACCTTCTGTAAGGTTATCATCATGTGACAGGGCGCTAAGCAGGAGATGCTAGGCTGACGCTCTGTCACTCCTGCTCCATGTAAGGGAGGTGAATTGGAACTGGTTAGATCACCTGGCCCTAACTGAGGACTCAAGAAGAGATGCCACCTCATTAGGCAGGGATAAGAGACTCCAGGGAAGGAAATGGAAGGAGAGAGAGAAAGGAAGGAGAAAAGGCAAGGAGTGGAAGCAGAGAGAAGTAACTCTCCCCTGCCTGCGGACTATAAAGGGGACCACTTGTATGGTGAAAAGTTGGTGGGAGCACAGCCTGTGAATAAAAGCGCCAGGTGAGCAGTGCACAAAAAGGTCTCCGAGTGACTCTCTCAGCCCAACAGGGACAAAGACAAGGAGGGCCTTGCAACAAACCCTGTCACACACCACAATGCTGTTTTCTCTCCCTCCTTATATGATTTCAGTGAACCAGCTCCTGAATGCAAGCGATATTTCCGATCCTGTAATCATCGCCACAGTTACAGGGACGATTTCCTATGGTAAGAAAATAGTATTTCAGACTTGGTAAGAAACAGTTTCTACTTGACCCAAAGTGGGTGGTTTTAGCTGTGCTGTGTGCCATCGATAGTATGCCACAAACCATGAAAGGGGATGGCCGTTGAGTGACGTGATAATAGAGAAGTGAAACCTACTATCACTTTGGTTTGTTACTGGGGTTGTAGCTCTGCCAAACACTCTGGTTCACTGAAGGTGGGGGGCAGGGCAGTTGCCCCAGGGCCTGGCAATTCAAAAGGGCCCAAGGGTCCCAGCTGCCACTGCCACTACCATGGGAGCAGCAGCAGCTGGAGTCCTGGGCCCTTTAAATCCCCATCAGAGTGCTGCACCTCATACTTCAGGTGGCACTGAAGGCTGGCTGGCCCCAGTCCTTCCCTTCCACTTGAGACCCTATCCCTTCTGGGAGCACAGGCCTGCCCTCCCCCCACCTTTCCCAGGGGTCCCGCAAGTCTGTTGGCCACCCTGTAAACTCTCACCCTTTCACCAGTACAAGATCTCAAGAGAGAGATCTTGGAGTCATTGTGGATTGTTCTCTGAAAGCACCCACTCGGTGCAGCAGCAGTCAAAAAAGCAAACAAAATGTTAGGAATCCACCTGCAGCTCTCCTTGTCTGGAAACAACAAACCAGAGCCAGTGCTCCATGTTTAGGTAAACAAAGTGGCACAGTCCACTAGTGGCTTTTCCAAAGTGGGTGCACGGAACAATTTGAGAAACACTGATCCAGAGCATAGTACTACTAGCCTGTATATCCTGTGATTATGCTTTAGGACTTTTTGTTCTGTTAAGACATCCACAGTTAAACCTAATGGACAACAGCTAGGGCATGAGAAACTGAGACAAAAATAAGATATTTCCTGATCATACAGCTAGGCATGTTGGCTAAGCTATTTTGACTCCACAATTTGAGCCAAAGACTTGTTTATTTCTCATGTAACACTAACCTCCACTTACTTTTTTGGTTTATTGTAACCAAAAAGGGGACTTCTGCATTGTTTTTTCAGAGTCAGGCCGCCAAAACCAAACAAAAGATCAATTTAAAAGAAGAGAATACATTTGTTTTTATGTTAGGTAATGGTTAAACACAATGGCCATATTTCTCAGAAGTGCTCGCCTGGAAACTCCCTTACAAAGCTAGCTTCTTGCAGCCAGATCACAGCAGCAAACATACAGAAATGCACAGTGTAAAATGTGCTGCTTCTCTAGCACCTGGCTCCGCACTAACTGAAGACAGTGAAAGGTTGGGGTGCACCAGGAATGTACAATTAGGACAGCAGTGCACACTCATCAGCCTGGCTTTGTCATGTTTAAACAATAGACTGATTCAAGCAGTAAATATTTTATTTGGTAGATTTTACCTCAGATTTTCAGTTGCTGTAAATCAATATCACTCAAGGCCCAGCAACAGTGGCAGTGTGGATGATCTCTTGAGCAAGAAAGGTCTGATGGCCATTTTAGCCATAGGGGTTTCTTGCGCAAGAAATTCATGTTACCTGTCTACACTGCCTTCTTGTGAAAGAGCTCTTGCACAAGAGGGCTTATTCCTCGTGGGGAGAGGAATAACTCTTCCAGAAGAAGCCCTGTTTTCTAACACTGTACTATAAATTTATTTGCACAAGAACACGCGTGCAGTGTAGACGCTCTGCAAGTTTTTGTGCAAGAACAGTCATTTTTGTGCAAAAAGCCTGCAGTGTAGATGTAGCCAGAAAGATTTCTTCCTTTGTAAGCTGCAGTGTTGGCAACATGTTTGTCCTCTCACCAAGCCACTGGGTTTACAAACTAAGACCCCAGTCCTGCAAACACTAATGGACATTAACAGCTTGTTGTATTGAGTTCAATGGTACAAGTCATACACACAGTAACTGACATATGTACATGTTCGGAGTCTGGGGGACTAGAAAAAATTCTTCCCTAAAATATAAGCTATTTAATTAATTCTCTTTTTTCCCCTCCCTTTTCAGATAATGATGAAGAAATTTTTTGGGGAATAGGCACTGGTGCGATCATAATATCAATTGTTTTCTTAACTTTGATATTTAAAAAATCATTTAGAAAAAGGTACGGCTTTCTTTTCAGTTTTTTCCCCCCTTAGTCTCCTTCTCTCTCAGAAAACTCTAGACTTAATTATAGAAATGGATCCAGTTTTCTATAGCTTCCTGTTACCCAGGGCAACTTTTCCCACTCATAATTGCATGTTACAAAAAGATGTCCTCTGGTTTTTTTCTCTTTACAATAAGATAGATAATCTCAACGCATAATAATATGACCATTCCTTTGTAAAGCCCATATTTAGAGAATAAGGGATGTTTCATAATATAGATGTACAAGAAAAAGAGCAAGAGAAAAAAGCTTTATCCAAACACAGACTATTTGATCTTTTAAAATGTTATTTCTTAGACATATGTGCTGCTTTAATAGAATTTGACTATCAAATCCCACATTAGATAATTTAGAAGCAGAAGAGATTGGCGCAAAGGGCAGCAGAACATAATCAGTCAGAACATTTTAAATATTTTACAAATCCAATTCACATCCAATTCACCAGCGACAGAGTATCAAATGTGTTTTATCCCCCAGCTCCTTTGCTCTGAACCATGGACTTCACAGAACAATGGGCATGTTGAATCTTGTACTTCACTAAGAAAGATATCGATATCTAAGAATCATCCACTGCCACATCAATCACATGTATAGGAAACGAGTGAAATTCTGCGTTTTTGGGGCAAGCAGATGCCTGTGGCATAGTGCCAGCCTTTGGGTCAGGCAAGTACTTATCATAAATAAGGCTGGACAGAAACATATAGACAGATGGTGTTTAGTGTTTTTCTGATCCAGACACAGAATTCTGCCATTGATGTACCTGTTCATTGTAACCAGAGACTCCCTACTCCCTCACAGTGAAAATCAGTGGACGTTTGGCTCAATTCAAGTTTCTTATAAATAATAGTCATGTGTGCAGGTTACAGAGCACTTTGATTGTAAAGAAGTTGAAATTTCCATATCAGAGGTTTTTTTACCATGTTCCTGAACTAATCTCATCAGATCAGGAAACATATGCATCCTCTTCCTCTTAACATACATTGTTTTTTTCCCAGTTTGACAACTGGCAACACTGTTAAACCTACATATTTTGCACAAGGGCTTGGGCCAGACTAAAATGGCTTCTGTGATTGCTGATTCATGGAAACACCATAGGCCTTGCAGGCTACAGAGTTACAAAAGCTGATTCTGAGAGTATACTTCCTCCTCAATAGTAGCCACCTAGCATAAGACCAGAGTAAGCATTGTGCAATTTCCAGAGCCTGTCCCCTTCTAAAGGGTAAAGCCAAACTCAAGCTAGCCCATCTCTCAGGCTCAGTCTGTAACCCACAAACTGATTTAACCAAGAGCTTGAATCCTGTGTTTCCTATGTATGATGGGCCCAATCCCACAAGTAAGCTGCAAATTCAGCTCTCCATGGTTTCCTTGGGAATTCCTTGGGCATTCAGGGTCATGCTCTTACATGCATCTACCAAGCTACTTCTCTGTTTCTGAAAAGCCCTATTCAGCATTTAACTTTCTCTGATTTCTGTGGGGACTCTGCCTGAGAAAAGGATGCTCAATGAGGCACTCATATTGAGCATATCCAGGGAATATTTGCCAGGAGGTTACAACACTATTTTACAATGAAAATAGGACTCAATTTTCAAAGAAATTCTGAGAGTTCATAGTACGCCATTATTCGTACTACATTACTCTCAGTAAATGAGCATTTGATACTCCTATAGGAAATTTTGCTCCTGTGCAGCAGGCTAATGCAAAGCTTATATGCCACTAAAGCAAGACATAAGCTGTGCATAATTCTGATCTGGGGCAAATTTCACCCTGCTAAGTGACTAATAAAATACACTAACTTTTTTATTTTATGTTATTTTATTTTAAGACTTAGTACCGTACTTGCGTCATTGACACCAAAATGGTTGATTGAAGATTGTCCTAATGTGGAAAACAGCAATGTGGTAAAGTCACTCCAGGTAACTACTCAAAACAACATCCCAGTTGTTTTTAATTTACTATATAAATCACATTTAACTCCATGTGCAAAAAGTCATGAGAAACAAATACAGCCCTAAGAGAGAAATCTTGCTGATAGATATACTCTGGTTCAAACAGGAATTCAGGGAAGTCCTATGGACTATGGTCAGACTAAATTATAGCAATGATCCCTTCTGGCTTTGAAACAAGCAAGAAATCAGACTGCAAACTCCTTGGGGCAGGAACTGTCATTGTATGTGTTCATTGCGTAGCACCATTTGGTCCAACCTGCTTGAGCTCTGGAGACACTACTACAACCTAAATGTTAACTAATAGCAATACAATTAAGACCGGCCCTGAAGTGTGTTGAAAAATGTTCAGGTGCAATCAGATGCTCACCTTACATCCTCCCCTCTAGTTCACTTTACAGATGGTGGTTAAGTGTCAATGAAGGAGACAACCACGGAGAAGAGTAAGGATAGGTGAAATAGGCAGGATTTTGAATCTGCCCTCCTGTCTTGTACTTAGGAACCAGCAGTTATAACATTTCTACCAGTTACAAAATATTGTTTGTTTGTTTTCAGGAAAGATGGGAGTTAACGAATAGTGATTCTATCCAGTTGCCCTTGAACAATGATGATCCAGTAGTTACAGAAGTACTAGAGACATCACTGCAGGAGGATTACAAGACCACAAACACCAAAAAGGGAACCAGAAAAGTGGCCACTGAGCATGTGGACATCTTTCAAAACTCACTGCTTGTCAGCACTGTCATCACTGAGCAGAACAACGGCTATAAGCCCCAGGTTTCCAACGCAAGCCCACTGGGAAACGTATTTAGCAATACAAACAAAACACAGTCCCAAACATTGGATCCAAATACGTATCTCTCAAGCCAAGATACAAATGTTTTCTTGAAAGATTATACAATTCCTATTACTTCCTTGTGGAATGTTGAAAGAACTGAGAGCAATACCTTTTTACTTGAGAAAATTAACCTCATTGTAAACAACAGTAGAAGTGGGCAGAGTAACTCTTTCAGTGCAACAGATGAGGAATCTAGTATACTTTTGGAAAACCACTGGAAAAGTCCATCAACCACTGAAAATGTTCAAGAGCAGACATTACTTCCAGATGAATTGGTCTCTTGCTTAGGAGCTGTGACTGAAGATTCCATAGATATAAAGTCCTATTTTCCACAAACAGTTGGAAAACTATTTAAATAGAAATAATTGTAATAAAGAAAAAAACTTACTTTAAATGAGAAAGAGATGCATCGTGGAGTTTAATCTTTTTTATTTCACAAGTGAGCTGATGCGTTTTTTAAAAAAAGCAAAGTAAGTGACATGCATTTTAGAGACTTAAATATGACAATAAAGAGCATTTAAAGAAATTATTTGAAGAGGAATTCTCCAGAACTTCAAATAATTCTGTAATTCATAGAAAGTGTCAAATTTTTATATCAAACTTTCAGCAGCCCATTAAAAAATGGACTTTGAAATGTTTGCTCATTACTTGCTCAGTCAGGTCTCTGGTTCAGAGGGCCTTTATTTGGTTCTGTGTTTGTACAGCACAAGGGGGTCCTGCTCCATGACTAGGTCTCCTAGGTACTACTGCAATACAATAATACAATAAGAACACTATTTGAATATCTGTGATTAAAGTAAAAGTCATTGTTAAGCATCAGGTGCGGACCTACAAACAGCACCCAATATGTAAATGCACTGCTGGCTTACCATTGTTATTTTTAGCCATCTAGCTACTCCTATCCTAAACCACCTTGCTACAAACAGTGGATTACATATGAGAGGTGTAGCGCCACCTATGGGGTTGTTTTAAAACATTATCCTGCGGCCTGGTCTACACAACAAAGTTCGGTTGATGAGAGCCACCTTGTATCAACCAATTCATGCATGTGTCTGCCTTATAGTGATGCAATAACACCGCCTCCCTGGACAGCACTGAGTCTTCATTGATGTACTGAGATTGATGCAGTGTGAGCATAGACCTTGCATGACCTACGTCAACCCTACTCATCCTCTAGCGCTGTGTTTCTCAGCCTTTTTTCAGTGGCTGTATCTCTACGGGGAGACCCCAGACAGGGGTAAGGGGGCCAAGGCTGGATTTACAGCTGGGTCTGGCATGGGACCGGCAGCTGGGACCCTTTGTAAAACTACCTCTACTGCCTGCAGCTGTGCCTTTTTGATACTAGGAACCAGCTTGCTGCCTTCCTATACTGTGTCATGGAGATCTCAGGGAGCCCAGGGACCAGCCTGGGGACCAGTCAATGAGAAATACTGCTTTGACACGTACTGCTCTGGTCACAATTGTGAACTTCATTGCCCAGGGCTCCCAGAGACTGCAACCCACTCTCTCTCCACCTTTGAAAAACTCTGCCTATATTTTAAATGCCTTTCCTTGGTTATCCAACATGGGGAGAACCTTAGCAGCTCTCCCTTGCCGGATACAACTGCCCAACCAACCATGCTGGTCACACCTTCTAAACATGCTCCTACCTGCAGTAGGCAAGAGGAATTGGATTGCCTGGGCCCATAAGGTGAAGAGGCTGTTCACGCACAGCCACGGAATAATCACAGAAATGGGGGCACCTACAAATGATGCCACAAGAAAGCAAAGGAACTGTAGCAGGCTTACCAGGAGGCCAAGGAGGCCAAGACTTGTTCTGGTTCTGGACCACAGCCCTGTCCCTGTTACAAAAAGCTGTGTGCCATACATGGCAGAGTCTCCACCAGCACTCCTTAGAGCACCACAGATACCACCAAGGCATCCTCCAAGATACAGACCCCAGCCACGAGTTGAGACGAGGAGGAATATATGGGCTATGCGGCAAGCCAGAATCTGTTTGAAACTCCACCACATTCTTGCCCCTCCTGCCAGCCAACCACAGAAGAGCCTGATGGAGGGGAAGGAAACTTGAGTAAGCGTGTGCATGTATTTTCCCATGACAATGTTTAAATGTCAAGATGGTGCCGGTCCCATCCCAGGTTCCCAAAGACACACAAAGCCACTTTTCATCACTTTCTCACCATTTCATGAGAAAAGATTCAGTGCAAGAAGCTGAGGTAGAGTTGTTTTTGTTCCCCTGTAGGATTAGGCAGAGGAGGGAGCTAAGGAGGGCCTGTGGAGCAGTTTGTTGATATACAAAAGGAAATCCCTTGTATCCTCCTGAGAGATCTCAATGAAACTTCCATGGAGATACACTATGATCTCTCCCAAGGGTTTCTAGGGATGGCTACCTTATTTCTTCCTGCATGGGAGCACACTTTCGCATGCCACTCCACAATGAGGTCAGCTGATATCATTGCAACAACTAGGCTAACAGCATACAGCCTAGGAGGCTTCATAACTGTCAGAGGGTTTTCCCTTCACCCTCTTCCCTAGTTCTTGTCATGCAGACAGAAAGCAGCAGACCAGAAGTCTGAAGTGCTGGCAATGTGATGCTAATTGGGGTTAGTTCCAAGCAAGCACATCCATCCCTCTGCAGAGTCTGTTTCCCAGTGTTCCTTTCCTAGCTCTGATGTGACAGAGCCTTGCCTGTGTCTTCATTTCCCATTCCCACCTCCTCCTTCCTGGAAGTGTATGCCCCTAATCACACCCTTTATAACGTATAGCCATGCTCCATTTTAGGGAGTTGGGACTCGGGGGTTTTCATTCCACCTCCTTTACATTCTATGGGAAGGGTAAGGGATGAGGCTGTGTTCTGGCTAAGACCAAGCTTCTTTTTTGGCTTTTAGTGTGTCTTATGTTCCCCCCTACCCCTTTCTGCCCCTCCTAACCAATTGCTTCACCTTGGCCTGAGAAAGAAGTCAGGGAGCCTTCCTATTATTATACTCCCAACATATCCCATACACTTCAACTGTTCTGACCTGTTCCAATTACACTAACAAACCCATCTGGCCAGGCAGACAACACACATAGTGTCTTTGTTCACACATATTAGAGTATCAAAAACTCAACCCCCAAATTCTACCTCAGGTTCACAATCAAGCCTATATACTAACAATGCCACCGGCAGTTACTCTGTTTTTTGTGCCTTTGTAACCTCCAAGAGTGAGATATTAGCAAAAATCACAATTACACCTGTGGAAAATAGGACCAGTGTTCAGTGCCATTGTCCTCTACTTGTTGCCATGGAAATTGGTGGAGAGTTATTTCATGCAACCAAAAATGAGAATAGACTATTCATGTCCTCTCAATCTTTGGCCCCTTGCGGGTGATACACACCAGGTCTGGGAATGAAGATTCCTTGTAATTTTTTCCATCCATGTGCAGAATGAATTTTTATGTGCACTGAGACACGTGCAGATGTGCACCACCCATGCAAACAAAAAACTTAGCTGTGAGCACTCTGCTAACCATCTGGGCAGCATTTGACTCTCACCTGAGTGGCTGCACAAGCTCACAGCTTACAGGGAACACGGGTGGAGAGCGTTGCTGTGCAGAGGTGCCCCATGGCTGACATGTTAGTAAGCATGTCTTACCAACAAAACTATGGGAATGAAGGAAGGAAGATTTGAAACATGGGAATGAGTAGTCCTGTGGCACCTTAGAGGCTAACAAAAATATATATAGTATTGTGAGTTTTTGTAGGTAAAACCCGCTTCCTCAGATGAGTTTCAGTGGGAAAAAAAGGGAGAGAAAAAAAAGTACCTGTGAATTGTATTGCTGGTGCTAATGAGCTAATTGACTGGGCTGGAAGTGTCCTATAGTTTTGATGTCATTGAAGAATTAAATGTAAGAAAGGCTGGTTTTATTTTGGGCCATCCATGTTCAGGCCCCGGGAAACTGTCAGATTTGCACATGAAGGTCAATTTGATACTCTCTCTCTCTCTGTAATTGGCTTGTGAAATTCCTTTGTAGGAGAATGGCTACTTTTGAATCCATGATTGAGTGCCCCAGGTAGGTTAAAATGTTCCCTTGCAGGACTGTGTGTGTTACCATTTCTGATATGTAACTTGTGGACAAGCCCACTCAAGCTCATCCTCCACACATATAGCAGAATGTATAGCAGTACCCAAAACTCTAAGTACTTGTAGACGCCCTCAAAGGTTCAAGAAAAAACCCAGTTGTATGTGTAAATGTACAGCAAATATAATCTAATTCAGACAGTCAGGGAAATACAGTGTAATAGTTATAACTGGACAGAAAACCGGAATCTTTTGTAGGTTCGTTGTAAGAGACAGTATAATACCTATAAACATACACCACACATTATACAATTCTTAACAGGCCCAAAAGCTTCAGGACCTGGTAAAGCACAGTCTGCCCTACATCATTCTATAGCTGATGGTTAAAACTCTTGCAAGGCTTCCCTGAGCTGTGCAGCTCCTATGGTGCTGTATGTAGTAAGGGTGATCATTTATAATATCATTGCAACACAAATGATTAAAGGTCTAAAAAACCATGAGCTATGAGGGAAGAATGAAGGAATTGGGCTTGTTTAGTTTGGAAAAGAGAAGACTGAGGTATGATAGTGGTTTTCAAGTATCTAAAAGGGTGTAACAAGGAGGAAGGAGAAAAATTGTTCTCCTTGGCCTCTGATGATAGGACAAGAAGCAACGGCCTTCAACTGTAGCAAGGGAGGTTTAGATTGGATATTAGGAAAAACTTCCTAGCTGTCAAGATGAATAAACACTGCAATAAATTGCCTAGGGAGGTTGTGGAATCTCCATCACTGGAGATATTTAAGAACAGGTTAGATAGAAATATATCAGGGATGGTCAAGACAGTGCTTGGTCCTGCCATGAAGGCCAAGGATTGGACTCCATGACCTTCTGAGGTCCCTTCCAGGTCTAGTATTCTATGACTGATACCAACATTACAAAATTGCCATGATGCTTATACAAGATATTCTAGAAGAACATAAGAATGGCCACACTAGGTCAGGCCAAAGATCTATCTAGCCCACTATCATAGAACCATAGAGCTGGAAGAGACCTCGGAAGGTCATCAAGTCCAGCCCCCTGCTCTAGGCAGGACCAATTCCAACTAAATCAACCTGGCCAGGGCTTTGTCAAGCCGAGACTTAAACACCTCTAGGGATGGAGACTCCACTACTTCCCTAGGTAACCCATTCCACTGCTTCACCACCCTCCTAGTGAAATAGTTTTTCCTAATATCCAACCTGGACCTCTCCCACCACAACTTGAGACCATTGCTCCTTGTTCTGCCATCAGTCATGACTAAGAACAGCCTTTCTCCAGCTTCTTTGGAACCTCCCTTCAGGAAGCTGAAGGTTGCTATCAAATCCCCCCTCCCTCTTCGCTTCTGCAGACTAAACAGACCCAACTCCCTCAGCCTCTCCTCATAAGTCATATGCTCCAGCCCCCTAATCATTTTGATTGCCCTCTGCTGGACCCTCTCCAATGCGTCCACATCCTTTTTGTAGTGGGGGGCCCAGAACTGGACACAATACTCCAGATGTGGCCTCACCAGAGCCGAATAAAGGGAAATAATGACATCTCTGGATCTGCTGGAAATGCTCCTCTTAATGCAACCTAATACGCCATTAGCCTTCTTGGCTACAAGGGTACACCATTGACTCATATCCAGCTTCTCATCCACTGTAACCCCCAGATCCTTTTCTGCAGAACTACTACTTAGCTGGTTGGTCCCCAGCTTGTAACAATGCTTGAGATTCTTCCTGTCTTCAGACAATGGACAATGCCAGAAGTCCCAGAGAGAATGAATAGAATAGGGAATCATCATGTGATCCTTCCCCGTCACCCATTCCCAGCTTCTGACAAACAGACTAGGGACATGATTCCTACCCATCCTGGCTAACAGCCATCTCAGGCTACATCTACACTATATGCTTCTTGCGCAAGAAGCCTTTTGCGCAAGAGGTTTTGTACAAAAACTTCTTGCGGAAGAGCATGTCCACACCTCAAAGCACATCACAAAAGTGATGTGCTTTTGTGCAAGAGAGCGTCCACACTGCATGGATGCTCTTGTGCAAGAAGGAAAAACACCTATGCTTTTTCCCCATTGTGCAAGAAACCCCTCTGGAGTGTCCACACTTGCCTTCTTGCGCAATAGCTGTAGCACTAAAAGCAGTTATGCCTCAGAAAAGGAGGTTTACCTACGGCGGAAAAAGCCCTCTGTTCTGCCATTTAACTGCCCATTTAATTGCACAAGAGCTCATTTGAGGTGTGGACGCTCTGCAGGATTTTTCCGCAAAAAACCCAGCTGTTTTGTGCAAAAACCTTGTAATGTAGACCTAG